CCTCCATACTGTTCTCGTGGTAGTGAATATGTCTCATGAGATATGATGGTTTTATCAGGGGTTTATACTTTTGCATCTTCCTCATTCTCTCTTTGCCTGCCGCCATCCATGTTAAGACAGGACTTGCTCCTCCTTGCCTTCCACGACCGTGAGACCTTCCCCAGCCACGTGGAACTGCAAGTCCAATTAAACCTCTTTCTTTAGTAAATTGCCCAGTCTTGGGTATGTCTTTATCAGCTGTGTGAAAACGGACTAATACAGTAAACTGGTACCAGTAGAGTGGGGCCTGCTGAGAAGATACCCAAAAATGTGGAAGTGACTTTGGAATTACATAACAGGCAGAGGCTGGAACAGTTTGGAGGGCTCAGAAGAGAGAAAAATGTGGGAAAGTTTGGACACTTGTTGAATGGCTTTACCCAAAATGCTGACAGTGATATGGACAATAAGGTCCAGATGGAGATGAGGAACTTGTTGGGACCTGCAGCAAGGATGATTCGTTATGTTTTAGCAAAGAGACCGGCAGCATTTTGCCCCTGTCCTAGAGATTTGTGGAACTCTGAACTTGAGAGGCATGATTTAAGGTATCTGTCGAAAGAAATTTCTAAGCAGCAAAGCATTCAAGAGGTAACTTGGGTGCTTTTAAAAGCATTCAGCTCAGCTTTTAAAGGGAAACAGAGCACAAAAGTTTGAAAAATTTGCAGCCTGACAATGTGATAGAAAAGAAAATCCCATTTTTTGAGGAGAAATTCAAGCTGCATAAATCTGCATAATTATCTGCCAAATGTTAATCCCCAAGACAATGGGGAAAATGTCTCCAGGGCATGTCACAGGTCTTCATGGAAGCCCCTCCCATCCTAGGCCTGGAGGCCTAGGAGAAAAAAGTGGTTTTGTGGGCCAGGCCCAGGGTCCCTGAGCTGTGTGCAACCTAGGGACTTGGTAGCCTGCATCCTAGCCACTCCAGCCATAGCTGAAAGGGGCCAACAGAGAGCTCAGACCGCAGCTTTACATGGTGCAAGCCCCAAGCCTTGGCAGCTTCCATGTGGTGTTGAGCCTGCGGGTGCACAGAAGTCCAGAATTTTCACTTGGGAACCTCCACCTAGATTTCAGAAGATGTATGGAAACACCTGGATGCCCAGGAATTAGTTTGCTGCATGATAGGGGCTCTCATGGAGAACTTCTGCTAGGGCAGTGTGGAAGGGAAATGTGGGGTCAGAACCCCCACACAGAGTCCATACTGGGGCACTGCCTAGTGAAGCTGTGAGAAGAGGGCCACCATCCTCCAGATCCCAGAATGGTAGATGAACCGACAGCTTGCACCACGCACCTGGAAAAGCTTCAGACACTCAATCCCAGCCCATAAAAGCAGCCAGGCAGGAGGCTGTACCCTGCAAGCCACAGGGGTGGAGCTGCCCGAGACCCTGGGAACCCATCTCTTGCATCAAGCATGACCTGGATGTGAGACCTGGAGTCAAAGGAGATCATTTTGAAGCTTTAAGATTTGACTATCCACAATGGGTTTTCAGACTTGCATGGGGCCTATAGCTGCTGTGTTTTGGCCAAATTCTCCCATTTGGAATGGCTGTATTTACCCAGTAGCTATACCCCTCATTGTATCTAGGAAATAACTAGCTTGCTTTTGATTTTATCGGCTCATAGGTAGAAGAGACTTGCCTTGTCTCAAATGAGACTTTGGACTGTGGATTTTTGAGTTAATGCTGAAATGAGTTAAGACTTTGGAGGACTGTTGGGAAGGCATGACTGGTTTTGAAATATGAGGACATGAGATTTGGCAGGGGCCAGGAACGGAATAATATGGTTCGGCTGTGTCCCCACCCAAATCTTATCTTGAATTGTACTCCCAAAAGTCCCATGTGTTGTGGGAGCGACCTGGTGGGAAATAATTGAACCACAGGCATGATTTCCTCCATACTGTTCTCGTGGTTTTAAGTCTCATGAGATCTGATGGTTTTATCAGGGGTTTCCATTTTTGTGCCCTCCTCATTCTCTTTGCCTGCTGCCATCCATGTAAAATGAGACTTGCTCCTCCTTGCCTTCCACCATGATTGAGAGGCTTCCCCAGCCACATGGAACTATAAAGTCCAATTAAACCTCATTCTTTTGTAAATTGCCCAGTCTCTGGTATGTCTTTATCAACAGCATGAAAATTGATTAATATAATAGGAAAAGGATGCTTTCATTGGAAAGGGAAAAAGAAATTAGAGTGTAAAGCTGTTTTAGATCTCATTTGCAACCAGACAACATTTGATTTAAATTATACTGGCATTTTGTACAATACTGGGTTAATAGGAAAGTCACATTTATGATTAAATAATACTTATAATAATGAAGAAAACTGGAAAATTGAAACTCAACCCTCCTCAAATTGTACTCCCAGCAGAAAATGAATGGTCAAGCTATTGGACATTATAAATCATCAGCTAATTACAGTTCTAAATATGTCAAAGACATCATAAAGTACAAATACAAAGGAAGGAAAATTATTAGTCACAGACTATCAAAATCTATGTTCAAGATTCTTTTCTATGATAATTGTTTCTTTACTTCACTGCCTTTATCTCAGTGGACCTCTTAAGTTGCTCACCATATTGTTGATTATTTTTCTAATATTTCTATATTACAGATATTTAAAATCCTACAAAAATGTTACCAAAAGAATAAAACTCCAGCCAAAATTATGTTAGCTCATCAATTTGAACAGCCACAGAATGCATGTAAGGGTGGTCTTCTGTTGTCTGTTTTTTCTAATATTTTTCTAATATTTCTATGTTACAAATATTAAAAATACTGCAAACGCATTACCAAAGGAATAAAACTCCTGCCAAAATCATGTTAGCTCATCAATTTGAACTAACAGCCACAGAATGCATGTAAGGGTGGTCTTCTATTGTCTGTTTTATCCAACATACTCTTTCTTCTAATTCTGACCTACCAAATTATGACAGAAAGGGACACACTCCCAATTTGCTCTGAGTCTGTGTCCCTGGTCTATAGTCCTCAAACTTGGCTCAGAATAAAATTAACTTTGACTTAACTCTATAGTGGCTATTACTTTAAACTTTTGGGTCAACCTAAAAAAATTTAAAAACAGCAAGAAAAGCATGTATTTTCAAAATACTGGAGCAAATATCCAATCACCTAATAGAGCTAAAAGTATGTTCACATAAAGAGCAAAAAAATAATGGTGGTCAGGGTGGGGAGGTGAGAAGAGTGTGCTTTCTTGGTAGTGGTCATCTTGGGGAAGGTGAGGGGAGTGGATTTTTTTTTTCTTTCAAATAAAAACACTTGTATTGTTTCTTCAATCCACATTCATATACAGCTTTAAAAATAAACACCAATGTAATTTATTAAGAAATAAAAATACTTGATGATCAAGTCAGTCAGAAACATTAGATATTTCGCTTTTCAAAAGACTAAGAAAATCCACCACAAGCCACCGAGGCCTTAAAAGTGTCTTCTCAAGACAGCAGGATTTTTTTAAAAAGCAGCAATAAAAAAACACTTAAGGTATTACTTTCAGTCCCCTGGGTGGCCATTCACCTTGTTTAGGGTCTCCGAGAGATTTAACATCAAGGAAGCTCCAATAGTATGCACTCTCCTAACTCCCTAAACTGTCTACCTGGAATCTCTGCCTTACTCCCTACCATTAAGCTAACACCACGTCTGTTTTAGCAGGAAGCTTAACCACCCTCCCTTCACCAGAGCTGGTTGCAGGCTGCCAGCATTCTGTGCCTCCAGGATTGGGAGGGTTCCAAGCCTAAGTCCAAAAAGTCCCAGGTGTACCAGTCACTTATAAATCTCACCTCCTAGGCCGGGATCGGTGGCTCAAGCCTGTAATCCCAGCACTTTGGGAGGCTGAGGCGGGCGGATCACGAGGTCAAGAGATCGAGACCATCCTGGTCAACATGGTGAAACCCCGTCTCTACTAAAAATACAAAAAAATTAGCTGGGCATGGTGGTGTGTGCCTGTAATCCCAGCTACTCAGGAGGCTGAGGCAGGAGAATTGCCTGAACCCAGAAGGCAGAGGTTGCGGTGAGCCGAGATCGTGCCATTGCACTCCAGCCTGGGTAACAAGAGCGAAACTCCGTCTCAAAAATAAATAAATAAATAAATAAAAATAAATCTCACTTCCTACCCCAGTGCATAGTATCATCTTGACTAATCCAATGAGAGATTATACACAGACTCCTCCCTGCAACAGCCAGATGTGGGATGAGTTGGCTCCACCTGAGCAACTGTCTTCCCTTCCACTTCCCAAAGCCTGTTCTGTCTTTCTCTATATTTAACTAGCTCCACTGCTTTCCTCCATCAGTTCCTACTATTTTATGATGTATTAACACATTGCTTAATTCCTTTTAGCCTGGGTTTTTTTTTTTTTTTTTTTTTTTTTCTTGAGACAGGGTCTCACTCTGTCACCCAGGCTGGAGTACACTGGCACAATCACAGCTCACTGAAGCCTAGACCTCCTCAGCTCAAGAGAGATTCTTCCACCTCAGGATCCCACATAGCTGGAACTACAGGTATAAGCCACCACACCCAGCTAATTTTTGTATTTTTCGTAGAGGCAGTGTTTTGCCATATTGTCCCGGCTGGTCTTGAACTCCTGGGCTCAAGTGATTTGCCTACCTTGGCATCCCAAAGTACTGGGTTTACAGGCATGAGCCACCACACCTGGCCTAGCCTGATTTTTTTCACCTATAAATAGGAATAATATTCCTTGAGGATAGAGACTACCTGGCCATCTCTGCCTACTCTGTAGTGCCTAAACTCAACATGCATGGAAATAGTCATTGAGTGAATAAACAAATGCACCTAAAACTATAATTCTAAGATGGAATCTTTGGTCAATAAACTCTCCCATTCCTGGACTCTCTGACCTAGAACAACCTTGAGGTACAAGACAAGGCCATGTGTCCACAACCTCGAGGAACCAGAAGATATAGCAGAAGCTGTCACAATGCAGATGGAAAGCAGGACATACCTGGAAGGAAGTGGGAATACAGACAAGGTTCAGATTCTCTTGCTTCACCCTTTCAGCTGTGGAAACAAAAGACACATTGGCAGTTTTTCACTCTCCTCACTTTATTTTTCTTGTCATGTGTTTACTCAAATCCAACAGATTAAGGGAAGGTCTATCTTCCACTGTCAGCTGCCTTTCATTCTGTGTCCCCCTCCTTGGTGGAAAAGCTGGTGACTGTACTTCACACATCAGAAGACAGGGACACAAGAAAGTCTGGAGAGGTAAGTACCATCCACAGAAAGCAGTGTCAGTGTTTGCTATTGTTACGTGCCTGGCAACATTCTAAGAACTTTGTATGTATGAGCTCTTAATCCTAACAACCCAAAACGTAAGTTAAATTACTTTCCCCATTTGGCAGATAACGCAACTGAGGCTGAGAGGTAATGTAACTTGGTAGCTATACCGCGAATAAGTGGCATAGCTGGAAGATGATCCCAGGCCATCTAGCCACACAGTCTTAACTCCCCTTTACTGTCTCTTCTAGGAAAAAGCTAGAACTTTATTTTCATATTTTAGTAAAAAACATACTTATCTGTAGGCCTCAGAGGGTAGCTAAAGGAGACTGATTTTTTCACTTTGGATTTGTAACTTTCAGGAAAGTCTGATTTTTAAAAAAATGATTTCAGGAAAAAAACTGTCTTATTAAAATGTCAAGTCTTTTAAATCACTGAGTGCATCTTGGGAGGTTTGGGTGCCACTATTATAAAATTCATAGTAACTCCTGTGCCCTGAAAGTATTCTCCAGATACTTGGTTAAGATTGAAAGGTAGGCCGGGCGCGGTGGCTCAAGCCTGTAATCCCAGCACTTTGGGAGGCCGAGGCAGGTGGATCACGAGGTCAAGAGATCGAAACCATCCTGGTCAACATGGTGAAACCCTGTCTCTACTAAAAATACAAAAAAAGTAGCTGGGCATGGTGGTGCGTGCCTGTAATCCCAGCTACTCAGGAGGCTGAGGCAGGAGAATTGCCTGAACCCAGGAGGCGGAGGTTGCGGTGAGCCGAGATGGCGCCATTGCACTCCAGCCTGGGTAACAAGAGCGAAACTACGCCTCAAAAAAAAAAAAAAAAGATTGAAAGGTATACAACACAAATGCTCCCATTTGGCCAATAAGGCTTCTAGAAGCCATCACGCCAGCAGTAAAACCAGTCCTTGATGACAAAGTGTTCCTGGACTTTGCCTCCTGGGCCCTGCCCCTTGGCACCTAGAAGAATTCAGCATTCAGGGAGGCCTCTCCTCTAGGTTTTGTTCTTACAAACAAAGACCAGGGCAGTAAAACCTGTTGAGCAGCCACAGGGGCTGATAATTTCTGAGCCTTTCCTAAGCCCAGACACACCCTAATCGTGTGAAATGAGCACCTGCAGGGACTAGGCATCAGTTGCAGGAGCCCCACATCCATTCCAGGGTCATAGGGCAAACCCACTATGACCTCAATTATCTGCCTGAGGAAGTCTGAGACCACACACAGGACTTGAGAGTAGAATGCCATCCACATGATTAAAATTATATTGGGACCTCAAGCTAAGTCTGCTCTTCCCCTCCAGCTGAGCAGAGTAAACAAAGGCAAGGGCATTCTTTAGAGTTGGCTGAAGAAGCCCAAGTTTCCCTCTCTCCACAAAAGAGCAGAAACACTCAACTGACCTCAGGTAGTCCCCTCTCTCCAGCTCTGCACAGCTGAAGCCAAAAGGACAATGCCACTTCCTCCCTCTCCCCTACCTCCCTACCCCATCATCATACACAAAACATCCAGCAAACAGTGCGAGAACATACCTATTCGCTGCACAGCATGGACAATTGTAGAACCACTTCCAATTCCCAGCACTTGGTTATTCTGCCAAAAAGGGGGGAGAAGAAACTTATCAATACCATATTTTATTCCCTTGTCAGCCCACTTCCTAAAGCTATAAAATTATTATGAACAGCAATTCACCAACACAGATGCAAGACAGGTACTGTGCCTATTTTACAGGAACATAAACAATGAACCTCAATGCCGTACTTTAGGCAACGCATGGTGGATAAATGATCAACAAGGACCTCCTCCCTTCATTTCTGACACTGTCAACACCACCACTTCCTCCCTACATTCTACCAAATAATTGGTGCAATTACTTGCAATTGAATACCAACTTAACGTAACCCTCACAGAAATGGCCTGCACATAAACACTTAAAGATTCCTGACCTTTCAAGCCAGCAACAGTGAGTTTTGAAAAGAAAAGAAAAGAGAAAAGAGAAAAGAAAAGAAAAAAGATTCCTGGCCAACCCCAAGGAGGTAATTAGAAAGAAAACACCTAAGAAAAAACAACAGAGCCTGGAGCCTGGGTAAGAGAGGAAAGCTAAGGTTTCTGGCTTCAGTGCCTTCCACATGCACCTTCAAGTTGGTAGCACCACAAGACACATCAGGTCCACCATCTAGAGTTCTCCCAAAATCAGCAGAGAAAGGGAGGGACTGACATAGCTTAATAAAGTATGTCAGCATCTGCCTAGGGTGCTCATTTTGCATGAGCCTGCCTCAGAGAAAATGGGAAGAGAGCAAAGGCTTAGTTAAGAACATGAAAAATAGTCTTCATCTGCAATAGGAAGGATCTGTAATCGATGCAGCGCACTTCCTGAGTATGAAGTATAAGAAACAGACACCGCAATACTGAGCCTACCACCTTTAAGAAACAGGGAAGGGGCCAGGCGTGGTGGCTCACGCCTGTAATCCAAGCACTTTGGAGGATCACCCGAAGTCGGGAGTTCAAGACTAGCCTGACCAACATGGTGAAACCCCGTCTTAAAAAAAAGTACAAAAATCAGCTGGTGTGGTGGTGTGCGCCTGTAGTCCCAGCTACTCAGGAGGCTGAGGCAGGAGAATTGCTAGAACCTGGGAGGTGGAGGTTGCAGTGAGCCGAGATCCTGCCACTGCACTCCAGCCTGGAGATAGAGCGAGACTGTGTCTCAAAAAAAAAGAAAAAAATAAACAGGGAAGGTACCTACAAGCAGCCCAAGGACAAAGTAGGAGCTCAGCTGAGTCTACTAGACCACAAAGAGCTAAACGACGCCAGGAGTGCTAACAGGAACTAACATGGAGCTCAGTGCCTAAGCAACTTCCTGACATCTATCTCCTGCCAGTGCAAGGCAAAACCAACAGAACACCAAAGCAACAGCTATCATTTATGAATCACCTACCAAAACGACTTATAAATTTTAATATAAAGTCAAATTTCACAACAATCACTTATGACCTAGAGACCCACTATCCCACTTTAGAGATGAATTCAACATTGTAAGGAAAAACTTAAGAATTGGAAATGAGCAAAAGAGACTACTGGATGGGATGCGGAACCTGCTAGTATTGTCTGACTCTGTGAAGGTTTGTGACTTTGTCTTTAAGATACATGAGGACTCTACAGAGATACCCTTTAACTTGCAGAAAACTGTCAACAAAACAAGTAATTTTTGTTCATAGAAATGCAGATTAATAGTGTGTGAGATAACAATTATTATCAGATCTTCTAAATTCATTTTAAGATTTTTTTTAACTACATATGAGCTTGTGGTTGACTTCTCCTGTTGTTATGGTTTGAACATCTCCACCAAAACCCATATTGAAATTTAACTGCCATTATAACAATATTAAGAAGTGGGATCTTCAAGAGGTGATTAGGTCATAGGGCTCCACCCTTATGGGTGGGATTGGTGCCCACCCATAGCACTTCAACATCTGTCTCTCTCACCAGATGCTGCACCTTGATATTGGACTTCATAGCCTCCAGAAGTATAAGCCAAAAAATTTCTGTTCATTGTAAGTTACTCAGTCTCAGGTATTCTATTCTAGCAGCACAAAATGGACTAAGACACCTATGAATAGGTTCTAATACCTTTTCCAGTTCTCTCATTAGTGAGTTAAATAAAATCTTTGACATATATTCATTTTATATATGTGTGATTTTACCTTTTTTAAATATACATATAAACAGTATCAATGCCCAACACACACATACAAACTCATATTTTTTTCTTTTGATACAGGGTCTCTGTCACCCAGGCTGGAGTGCAGTAACATGATCATAGCTCACTGTAGCCTCAAACTCCTGCGGCTCACACAATCCCACTGCCTCAGCTTCCCACATAGCTAGAACTACAGGAACATGCCACCATGTCCAGCTAATTTTTTAATTCTTTTAAGAGATACAGTATCACTCTGTCACCCAGGCTAGTCTCGAACTCCTGGCCTCAAGTGATCCTCTCACCTCTGCCTCCCAAAGTGCTGGGATTACAGGATGAGCCACTTCAATCAAATAAGCGACTTCAGAAGTTGAATTTGATGAAACATCAATTCATTTCAAATTTCTTAAGACTTCTAACAACTGATTAACAATTAATTTACTTGACAAAGGAAAGCCCATAGTAAAATTTTTTAGGAAGAAGAAAAGTCCTGAAGGTCCCTCAGGACAAACAGGGCCACAACTAAAATCCTTTATTCCCCACAGGACAAAGGCCAAAGGAATACTTAAAGTCAGCCCCTAGGACACACATTTAATATGGTCCTTCTCAAAGTTAGACTATGGCTCTATTAGAGATTAGAAAGAATGACCAACAAGTAGAGATTAAAAAAAATAAATCAATTAAATGTCCCCACAACCACATACCTGTATACTAAAAATGCTTCTGCAGCCTCTTCTACCTACAGATGACTTTATCCAACAACTTTTGTGTTACTGACCTGGTGGAAACTGCTTTTACTAACTCACAGTTCCAAAGTCACTGAATATACCAGGGGCATGGGCTGTCAGAACAGGGCTTGCACTAGGTCAGAATTCCACCTGTGCCAATGTTCTCAAGAAGGCAACGTGTCTAATAAAGTTGTTTGGCTGCCTGGACAAGCCCCAAAGGCAAGGACTTCATGTCAAGTAAATAATACATCACAACACAGAAACATTCAAAATGGCTAAATATCTCGATATATAAAAATCTTCAAGTAATGAAAAAAGGTCTTATGTCTGAGTGTGGAAAAACTCAAACTTTTTCCTCTGCTCTCACACCACAACAATTATCAACACAAAAGACTTCTGTGACCAAATGTATGGGGGTTTCTTCCCATATCCCAAGCAAGCAATCTATCCTGCAGCAGACACCAGCTGGGTATCCTCCAATTCAATTTCAACACTATCAACCTGGAGATACCATCATGTCCCACTCATTGAGGGCTCAGTTCCCAAGATTGCCTCCTCCTTCCCATCAAATGCAAGTCCAGGCCTCCAGAACTTCTGACTTTCCAGCTTCAAGCTGGAGTTTCCACAACCTCTTCTTTGAGTTTAATTAACTTGCTAGAGTGGCTCAGAACTCAGGGAAACACATTTATCAGTTTATTATAAAGGCTATGACGAAGGATATAGATTAAGAGATACATAGGGCAAGACATGTAGGAAGAGACACAGAGCTTCCATGCTCTCCAGGCACACCACCCTTCAGGGACCTTCACATGTTCTGCTCTCTAGAAGCTTCCAAACCCTGTTCTCTTGAGCCTTTTGGAAAATTTACTGAATAAACATGATTGGCTTTTGGAAAAGGCCAGGAATTGCAAGGGCCTAGAAATGTGACTGGACAAAAAGGGTACAGATTGACTGGGGAAACCCTGCAAGGGCTTCTGTTCAGATTCTTCGTCTGTCTGTATAGCATTCCTTCCTCCAGGGTATGGAACAGGTACCCTTCTGAGATGGGGATCTTATGACCTACAATAAGACAACACAGGTCACAGAATTTCTTTACAGCCAGCTCCAAGACAGAAAAGCACTGCAGAGAGAAAGGAGCAAGTGGAAGGAGGGCAGGAGAAGGTATGAGAGAGAGAGAAAGATAGGGAGAAAGAGAGAGATTGTCTTCTGAGGCCTAAAGCACCCCATATATAACAAAAGACTGTAGCAAGTGCTATGGGTGTCATGAACCAGAAGCCATGGGTAAAAACATTATGTGTGTGTTTAAAATATCACACTAGTTAGACTTAACCTGACCTTCACACTTGACCTGAAGCTAGGAACTCTAGCTTTACAGTAATTTAATCACCAAATTCCTGGTTACCAAGCTTAGCCATACATTCATGTCACTCACAGCCCCCAGAAGGCAGGTGGCACAGAGACAAACTTGGATGAATCAGACAAGCTCTGTACAAGGCTCCTTCTTTGCCTTTTGGAAGAGACAAGTAATTGCAACGACCTGCCAGGCCTAAAGCTCTTCAACCATGTAATCCCTGAGGCCTTGGAATCAAATGACCGGCACAGGAATCAGTGCCCTTGCCAAAGCCAACCAGAGGTGACCAAAGGCTGCCTATGATGCAGCCCAACAGCAGAATACTACCAACCAGGCCCTGCTAGAGGAGTGGCCCCATTCTAATGCGCAGTATTAAACCACATGTATGTGCAACATCAGAACTTCACTCAGCCTCTCGAATGGAGTAACTCTGGAAATACATACTACTTCTGCTAACCAACTAGAATCACTGCCCATCAGCTTCCTCAACCAAGCCAGTCAAAAAACAAAGCCCAGGCTCCAAAGAGAACAAAGGGATGAGGCTACAGATGTTCAGAAGAAAGTAGATCTGCACAGCGACCCATCCTAGGTGGCTACACCCCCAGAAACAGACAGAGCTGGGTCCAGGGTGGCTATACAAAGGATTCACCTGAGAACGCTCAGTCTTCCATCCACCCAGACATGGAAGTAGTCACCATATTGGAACAACAATGGATTAGGGAACACGAAGAGCTACTCCCCAGAAATTCTACACAAAGAGCCTCCAATAACCCCAATACTTTCATATTTGTATCACATTGCACACAATTGAACAAACATTTACTGGGCGGTCCCCACTGTGACCAATGCTAAATGAAGGTTAACTACCCTCCAGGAGCTTACCCTTTAAGGCGCTGGAAGAAATGAACACACAGATGACGAGAACATAAGATACAACATAATGCACATAAGAGGCATGAAGTGCTACAGAATCACAGAGAAGAAATCTTCCTCTCCTTAGAATGCTAAGGAAAAACTGAAAGGAGGAAATGACCTTTAGGCCAAACCCTGAGGGGCATACATGATTTTAACAGGTGCCTCCAAAAGGCCAATGTAGCTCTCCCCAAAATCACCTGCTAACTTAATGAAATGATGTGGTCGGAATCCAGTGTTTTGGGGCTCCAGCCTAAGGTTAGGGCTTGCAGATTTTTATTTAATCAAATACATAACCATAACACAAGTGTCAGGGAGATGCGCCACCAAATATTAATGTGAATTCATTAACAGGACAACTTGGATATTGGGCTTTTCTAATTGTATTCTCATGTGGATTTTATTTGTCCATTAGCTATTCACTTTATGCAGATATTTTAAATTTTCAGCTAATTGTCTCAATTTTACAACTGAGGCACTGAATCCCAAAGGTAGGGTCAAATTAAAATATTTTACATTATCTCTGTTAATCCCCACAGAAAATCCTATTGCCAACCAGACTTGCAACAAGCTACACCAGAACAGGGCAGGAGTGGAAAGGGTAGGAGGGCACACTGGTACACCCCTTCTACAGAACTGGCTGAGCCACAGGTTACAACACTGGCCACTCCCATTCAAACAGGCTGTGGTGAAGCTCATACAACGTCATATAAGCAAATTAATTGTGTAGAGCAAAGCATTAACAGATGTAAAGAACTATCATCAGAAAAGAAAGGGGAAATCTAATACCACTTTCTATTTTTATTTTTTTTTTATTTTTTTATTTTTTGAGACGGAGTTTCGCTCTTGTTACCCAGGCTAGAGTGCAATGGCGCGATCTCGGCTCACCGCAACCTCCGCCTCCTGGGCTCAGGCAATTCTCCTGCCTCAGCCTCCTAAGTAGCTGGGACTACAGGCACGCGCCACCACGCCCAGCTAGTTTTTGTATTTTTAGTAGAGACAGGGTTTCACTATGTTGACCAGGATGGTCTCGATCTCTCGACCTCGTGATCCACCCGCCTCGGCCTCCCAAAGTGCTGGGATTACAGGCTTGAGCCACCGCGCCCGGCCAATACCACTTTCTAATAAGTAAAAATGAGAGATAAAAAGCCAGTAAGACCAAGGAAACTACACCACAGGGCAGACATACTCCACTAGGCTTCCTTATTATAATTAACATAATTAAATTGATTGGTGACAGCAAAACTACTTGGATTATAAAAATTCCACCGACAGCACCACATCCACCACTTAACAAACAAGTAGGGGCCACGGCCTGACTGAATAACAGCTAAACACCTTTGCAGCCCGGCCTTTAAAAAAAAAAAAGAAAGAAAGAAAGAAAGCATCCTCCAGACTTAGTCCACCCCGCCCTATGGAAAGAAAAAGGTATGAAGCCCCGGGTCTACCCTTCCCTCCAGGAGTACAGTCAGGGGCCGGTGCGCACCAAAGCCAAGAGCCTCCTTCAACTGAAATTTCAAAGTACTAACAAACCAACTCTCCGCTGGCTTCCGGGTCCGAAAAGAGAAATGAAAACCTCTCCGCAGCCCCAAAGCCCACCATTTCCCATTTGTTGATACGGAGGCGACAAGGCGAATGCCTCTAGCCCCCACTGCAAGCATCAGACGCCGCCAGGCTCCCCTGTGCAAACTGCTCCAGCTGGACAAGTCTTTAGAAAGCTCAAGTATTAGAAGATTCGCCCCTAACCGACTCTATTTCTAAAAGGTCTTTAAGGAGCAGGGAAGAGGGGTCTAAACTCCGGTAAAGTGCACACCCTCTACCCTCTCACTCAGCACCCGCCCTGCCAGGAGTTAGGCGCGCCCCGGCAGTACCCATAAAGCGCAACAGGAGCCCAACACGCCGAGAACATGCGCCCCACGCCCCGAGGTGCTCACCCTCACGTGGTTTTCCACAGCCGCGCGACCCGCCAGCTTCTTGGCCTCCTCGGCCTTGGACATCGTTGACGGGGCCGGGCAGACGCTGTTGGAGTCCCCGCAGCTGGTGCTTGTGTTGCCAGCACCGCCGCGGGTCCCAGACTGTGCACGCCCCGGCAGCCGCACGTGGGAACCTGGGAGGTCCCAGCTGTTCCCTCCTCCGCCTGAGACCGCGCCCCCGGCCCTCCCGGGCAGCGGGGCCAAGACCCGCCCGTAGAGGGTGCTGAAGGGCCCGGGGCGCTGCATCCCGACGCCTCGCTCCGGCCTCCGCTGAGGTCCCGCCCCCGGCTCGTCCGGAAGTCTGGTCACTTAACGTACACAGTCTGTGTGCCCTGCTCCGTGGGCCTTGCTGGGAAATGTAGTTCTATGGCTTCAGCACCCCGTATCTGCGCCTCAGTCTGGACTACCAACCCCATAATCCCCATAATGCTCTCCGCGACCGGATGCGCAATTGCAGGCGACAGTCTCTGGCATGTCGCTCTATAAAGTACGCTTAGCCGCAGAAAGAGCCGTTTGGGACGCCTTACTCGAGGGATGTGTGCGTACACCACCGTTAGGTGAATCCCAGGGATGTTTTCTCATCAGGGAAAGGAGTGCTAGACTTGACCCTTTTGTTTCTCCCTGCACTGAGAACGTGGCCATGGACTAGACCTCAGAGTAGTGACTCTTCTGTAGACGACGCGGCCCTTTGGAGGTGACTACTCCCTAGGAAACGCACATGCGACACCGGCGCCAGCTGAAGTCCATCTAGACCAGCACAGGCCCAAGGTCACAAGTTGAGAAGCACCCCCTGCCATAGACACTCTTCTGCACCTGGTGGTGGAGCAGGTGGAGCTGCACCTTGTTCCACCCATTACAAGGACTTTCTGTGAAAACAGATTTCTCTTTTATTCTCTACCTTTAAGGTTTCTTGTTGTTGAGAATAATTAAGGGATGAGCAATTCTTACTGCCCCCATTTTACAGAAGAATAAACTAATGCTGACCCCGACCACGTGGAGGCCCTTACAAACACGTGACCTTTGTGTTTCTCAGCTGTTAGTGGACTCCTTTCTGTCTGTTCATGAACTCATCTTCAAATGCATTCCAGGCCTTCAGAACTCACGTGTGCAAGTCCCTGGTATGGGCCACTGTTACTGCCACTTATCACCTAGATTTTCTAACTATGATTTTCTAACTATGCTGTGCCCCCTGAGGCCAGGAGCTCCTGAATCTTCACTTTTGTCTGTAGGAGAAAAAGCTGTTTGAGATAACATTTGAATATTTGAATCTCAGCACTTTGGGAGGCCATGGCAGGTGGATCACCTGAGGTGAGGAGTTTGAGACCAGCCTGGCCAACATGGTGAAACCCCATCTCTACTAAAAATACAAAATTAGCTGGGTGTGGTGGCACATGCCTGTAGTGCCAGCTACTCAGGAGGCTGACACAGGAAGATCGCTTGAACTGGGAGGTGGAGGCTGCAGTGAGCTGAGATCGCACCACTGCACTTCAGCCTGGGTGAGACAGAGTGAGACTCCATCTCAAAAAAAAAAAAGTGGATACTGTTATCCCCATTGGCATAAAAGAAGTCCTCACTTACTCAAGGTCACACTGCTTATAAGCAAAGCTGGGATACAAACCTTCAGTGATTCTAGGACCAAACCCTGATCTAATAGAATCACCTAGATGGGGATTTATTAATTGCCCCACCACATCACCAATATTGTATGAACTTTGTATAAGCCACACATATAATGCCTTTTCTCTTTAAAGCCACAAGTAATAGCAGTAAATCTTAAGACAAAATGGTTAAGAAGGGGAAAAAAACTGTAAATGAGGAAGTACTAAATGAAGGTAAGTACACAGGTTTTGGAGATTCAGAGTCTGACAAAAGTAAGATCAATCTACTTTATAAGTTAATCCACTAAAAAGCCTTTTTTCTTTTTTTCTTTTTCTTTGAGTCTTGCTCTGTTGCCCAGGCTGGAGTGCAGTGGCGTGATCTCGGCTCATGCAACCTCCGCCTCCTGGGTTCAAGAGAGTCTTTTGCCTCAGCCTCTCAAGTAGCTGGGACTACAGTCATGTGCCACCACACCCAGCTAATCTTTTGTGTTTTTAATAGAGATAGCGGCCGGGCGCGGTGGCTCAAGCCTGTAATTCCAGCACTTTGGGAGGCCGAGGCGGGTGGATCACGAGGTCGAGAGATCGAGACCATCCTGGTCAACATGGTGAAACCCCATCTCTACTAAAAATACAAAAAATTAGCTGGGCATGGTGGTGTGTGCCTGTAATCCCAGCTACTCAGGAGGCTGAGGCAGGAGAATTGCTTGAACCCAGGAGGCGGAGGTTGCGGTGAGCCGAGATAGCGCCATTGCACTCCAGCCTGGGTAACAAGAGCGAAACTCCGTCTCAAAAAAAAAAAAAAAAAAGAGAGATAGCGTTTCACCATATTAGCCAGGATGGTCTCAATCTTATGATCTATGCACCTCAGCCTCCCAAAGTGCTGGGATTACAGGTGTGAGCCGCAGTGCCCAGCCAAAAAGCCTTTTTTTAAATTACAAGGACAAGGACCATACTAATCTCTGTGTCTTTCCAATTTTATTTTATGTGCTGCCAAAGTAAGCACTAACAAGTCTTTTTTTTTTTTTTTTTTTTAACTAGATTGCACTAGGAAGAACCATGTGGGGTTTATTCTTCCCTCTTTCATGAAACCTAACGAAATTAGGTTGTGATTCCAAGAAACTCCTGGAAAAGAGTTCTCAGGGCCAGAATGAAGGATCCTAGAGGACAGAGCCCACCATCCTGCCCTATTGATAATGGTGAGAGGTAGAGCCTGGGCCTGAATGGGCTTTGGGTATCCACTGCCCTGATAGCCTTAGTGTGGCCCAGTCTGAGAGGAAACAGAGGCAGTGGGCACCATGGCACTTCACTTAATGCTGGTGTATTAGTCCATTTTTGTGCTGCTGATAAAGACATACCCAAGACTGGGCAATTTACTCTCAGTGAAAAATCTGGTAAGTACGTGATTCTAATTATGTATTAGGTTTGGAGCTTAGGACACCAGACAGAAGTGCAGATAAGGTTTGACTCTTCAGCATAGCTAGGGGGCATGGCTAACTGCATGTTCCCAAGCCTTACCTAGCTTTAACAGAGGCAAGTTGTACAGTTAACAGTCATAGTGGCAGTTTGTGAAGCATTTAGAAGGCATAATAACTTTTTAAATTGTATAACATTTGTTTCATAAATTCCGTTTCACAAATCTTTTCTTATGATTTACACAGACCACCTACAACATGCTTGGACTTTTTTACTTGTCTTAAACATCCTTTTTTTAAAACTACCATTTTACTTCAGGACAAGAATTTACCATACAAGATTTTTTTTTCACACAAAATCTCTTATTTATATTCTTCCTTACCAGAAATACCACTTTACCTTCATAACCTTTGAATTAGACAAAAGTCATTTTCCTTCTGTTAGAAAGCAAAGATTTGGCCGGGCGCGGTGGCTCAAGCCTGTAATCCCAGCACTTTGGGAGGCCGAGGCGGGCGGATCACAAGGTCAACAGATCGAGACCATCCTGGTCAACATGGTGAAACCCCGTCTCTACTAAAAATACAAAAAAAAAACTAGCAGGGCATGGTGGCGCGTGCTTGTAATCCCAGCTACTCAGGAGGCTGAGGCAGGAGAATTGCCTGAACCCAGGAGGCGGAGGTTGCGGTGAGCCGAGATCGCGCCATTGCACTCCAGCCTGGGTAACAAGAGCGAAACTCCGTCTCAAAAAAAAAAAAAAAAGAAAGCAAAGATTTGTACTGCAAGTTGCTATGTGAGTCCTGTGGAGCAGGGGCAGATAAGGAGGTTATCTACGTACTGCAGAATTTATCCCCCCTCAAGAGTTTGCTTGGTTAGATTTTTCACCAGAACTTGTCTGAATAAATGTGGGCTATTTCTAAACCTCTGAGATAGGACTGTACAAGTTAAAGTTATTGGTTAAAGAATTTAGTAATTTTGTGGGGAGACGTAGGGCTATCAGAGAGAAAGATGAATTCAGAGGTTGGGTAAATATTGAGTGAGCACCCATTTTGGAAAGTATATTTTTGCCCCAAAGAAGTGCGGGGGCATTACCAGGGATTGGTGGGAGAATAGCAATTGGTCCCTTAAGTAATATAAAGGGAGGCTAGGCATGGTGGCTCATGCCTGCAATCCCAGCACTTCGGGAGGCCAAGGTGGATGGATTACAAGGTCAAGAGATTGAGACCATCTTGGCCAATATGGTGAAACCCCATCTCTACTAAAAATACAAAAATTAGCTGGGTGTGGTGGCACACTCCTGTAGTCCCAGCCACTTGGGAGGGTAAAGCAGGAGAATCACTTAAACCTGGGGGAGGGGGTGGAGGTTGCAGTGAGCAGAGATTGTGCCACTGCACTCCAGCCTAGAGGCAGAGCGAGACTCCATCTCAAGAAATAAAAAAATAAAAATAAATAAATAAAGGGTGTGAATCTTTTCTTTTGAAGAGGGGTGCTATTTGCCCCCATTGCCTGACAGGATTTGGAAGAGAGTTGCTCTGAGAAGGATATTAGGACAGAGTAGGCAGCTCTTGAACCCAAAAGGGAAATTTATAATTTTACTTGCCACCTGCAGAATTGCCCTTGGCTTTGTCGTATTGATGATGATGTGTGATTTGGAAGGCACCTGGAGCAAAAAGCACCTTCAGCTCAAGGTTATCAGAAATTGGGATTCTGTTCCAAGGACCCTTTGGCCCTTCAGGGTAGTCTCATTTCCAGTGGCCAAGCTTGTGGCAGAGAGGCAAACCATTAGAGGTTTTTCCTCATTCATCCCATTAGGGCACTTTGCCTTCCAGTGGCCTGGCTTCTCACACCAATGGCAGTTACCTGGAGAAGTGCCCGTAGGGCAACCTGGAGAGGGCTGTTGGGCTTGCAGAGCAGCCAATACTTGAGGCTGCCTCCTTTCTCAGTGTTTCTCCTTTTTCTTAGCCCTGTCCTCCATATTCTTCTCTCAGTTTTAAAAGACTGAAGAGGCTAATCTGAGGACCTCCTGCACAGGGATACTGAGTTCTAAGGCTGACTTTTGCAATTTCCTCCCAGTTCATTATTAAGCCAAATAGCATTACAAAGGAAAACTAGTTTTTTGTTTTAAGGTTTGGAAAAATCAGACTTTTCCCAGCTTTGGGGGTGTATCCAAGGGACATGTTCTGTAATATGGAGATGCTATTACCCATCTACAAAGGGCAAACATAGGAGAAAAAGTGGGGGAAAAGTTTTTTCTCTACTTTCCTATTATTCTGAATGAG